TTTCCAACTTCTCTTTAAAAAAGGGTAAACAAGAGGTGACAAACTCAGGCTTTTCATCTCTTAAAAACATTTCAAAGTTGGATTCAAGAAGACTTTGATATATTTTGGTTTTAAGGTAACAGATGTGGTGTGGAAACACTAATTCAAATCACCCGCCTAACCAAGAGCTGCCCCTTTTGGAGACCCTCTGGCACCAGACCCTCAGGAGACGCCAAGGATCCGACTCAGCAGCCACCCCTGGGCCCATGGCTGAGGAGAGCAGCACCTCGGGGCTCAGTGCAAGTGCTGTCTGTACACAGCTCCCTCACGGGAGTGCCAAGGACCTCGGCATGCAGGGATCTAGGGAGGACTCCTCTGCCACGGAACCTTCTCAGTAAAGAATCACATTCCCCCAATCATCTTGTTCCTGCTGTCTAAAGATATAAAGATCTTCTCTGAAGAATTGTTTTGAAAGCCACCCTCCCCCCTGAAACCCACGTGGAACACCATAAATGTACAGATTAGAGACGTCCTAGAAAAGTCCTAAAATTATTGCAGAAAGTAAAGATGACTCGTTCCAGGGGAGGGGCAGGCAAGAGGCACAGCATCGAGATCTAATGAATGCTCGGGTTGGTTTGATTTAGTTTTCAGCTTTTCCCCATCATTCAAGAAAAAAAAAAAAATTAAAGAAGTGTTTAAGCATCAGAACTAAAATACAAATGCACGTTGACTTATAAAACAAGATTGTGGATTTGACCATGGGATTCCCTGACACTGAAAACATTTTACTTTTTTGCCCGGAGAGATTTCCTCATGGTAGGTTTGCCCTTGGCAGAGGGCTTCACTTCCTTCCTTCCACTGGCTGCTGGTTTCTTGGAAGAGCTGCCACTGGAGGCTTTCTTGATGGCTGGGGCTGCTGGTTTGGCTTTCTTAGCAGGGGTTTTGACCTTGGGAGGGGGCTTTGCTTTGCCCCGGCGGGGGGTGGGGGTTTTCCTTGGCTTGGGTTTGGACTCTCTTCGCTTCATCGGAGGGGCCCTGCTCCGGGATTTGGGAGGTGGTCTCTTCTGCATCCTGTCAGGAAGAGACAGCACAGAAACTCAGTGGAGGCACAAACGGTACCCAGAGCAGAGCTGCTGTCAGCAATTTGCATAAATGAAGCACATCTTGGCATCCCTGTCCTTTGCCAGCACATTCCATGAGCTAAATCCCAAAGAGCAAGAGCTCCTCTGGTAGCTCTACACTGAGCACTTCCCATCTCCACAGAGCTGCCAGCTTCCAACCCCTTTGTTAGGCAAATAAACATATAAATAATGACAGTGAATCAGTCAGCTGTCAGAACAATTAAGAGCCCTAAGCACTATCTCTCCTCTCTAAATGGGATTTTATTACTTAACAAACAACACTCATATTAAGTCCAAATTCTGAGTGAGGCTGGTCTCATATCTGGCTACAGAGCTGCAAATAATTACTGTAGGGATGAATTATTTTAAGGAAAAAAATAAATGCAAAAATTTCCATGTGAAACATCGCACTTTCTAAAGCAGGAGACTAAAGGCAACACAAACAATAAACACAGGCTCTCTCTCATCTGGAGGAGAAAAGGGAAGGCTTCAAATTATGGAATGGGGGAGGTCAGTATCTCTGGAATAAGGAATAATTAGAAACTTCTGCCAACACCTGTGGATAGGTGACCATACCAAGAACACACCTGAGCACTCTACAGCTGTGACAGACATTTATTTCATCCAAAGGAGCCCACACAGCTCACATGCTGCCATACCTCTTCTTTGGTGGTGGCTCTTCCTCCTCAGACTCTTCCTCTTCAGATTCTTCTTCCTCCTCAGATTCTTCCTCTTCTTCCTCATCAGATTCCTCAGAATCCTCATCCTGCTGCTTCTCTGGATAGAGCACATCTGGGCTACAAGAGGGGTCTGGTCAGGGCATGATTTGCTTCTAAGGCACAACTCCAGGGTAGGCAAGCCCTGGGTAACCCTGGCTCTCCTCTGGCACTGCAGCTTCCCCCTAAGGTTACAGCTTTAGCCCAATCCAGAAATAACCCCAGGAATTCTGTGATTGCTGCTGTCCCAAACCAAGGTTATTTAGTCTCTGCAATGGCAGAAACATGACAGCCTGGGAATGTACCAGCCCTAAGCTGTCCCTTCTCCATTTCTCTGTTTTTCCTATCCCTCATTGCTCCTTCCCTGCAAACCCAGGGAGAGGAACAGCAAAGGGGCAGGATCAGACTCCAGCAGCTAAGCATGGTTGAAGCTGTGGGGGCTCACATGTGCAATAAAGGGGGCTGGGGAGCAGGCACTTCAATGACTGTGCTGCCATTTGGCTCTTCCTGGGACACCAAGGCCTCATCCTAGGGCTCCACATGGCCCAGCACAGTATCAGCTCACAGAAGGAGAAGAAAGGCTGGTTTAGACTCAGTAACTAAACTAGGTCATCCTCCCTCCTCCCACCTCTCCACCCTTAAGGAAGGAACATCTGGGTCCTGCTCCTTAGGAGCATCCTGGCATGGAGAACCCACCCCAGTCCCTGCTCAGGTGAATTGGTTTTAGCACAGAACAATGAAATAGCCCAACTTGCAACAAAAGCAGCACGACAGACTACCTGAGAACACTGAGCCCTTAAAAGCTTCCCTTCCTAATGAAGTCAGTTTTCTGTTCACCCATGTAATGCCATTATCCAGAATATGGATGACAATGTGGCAGTTCACCAGTGATTAAACCTTCCACAACTTCCCTGCAAATAGGAGGTTGGCTCATGAACTTCAGCTCTGATATTTGAGCTGTGCAAAACTCCTGAACATAATTTTACAGACAAGATCTTTACCTGGGGTAATAAGGGAAGCAAAGCTGAAAGGTTCCACTGAAGCCCTTCCCAGAAATTTGCTCCATCCAGCCATTCTTCTCACATTTCTGCAGGGTTCTCTTCAGTAGATGCACTGTGAAAAAGAAATCAGAGAAAGGTTGTGTTACTATCTTTATACTCTTGTCTGATCTTACTGCTCTCTACTGTGTCCTCTGAAATCAGAGCTGGAGTCAGGATGGGAAATCCTCTCAATCAATTTGAGGAAGATACAAGATATTGTTCCTGAGTGCCTGGTAAGAGTGGCTTTAAACTCTCCAAAGGAAGGAGTTGAGAACAGTGCACGTTTCTGATGCCATGATCATGGGATGCTCCTTCATAAGTCATTTGGGAGCACCATGTAACCACCACTGTCCAGATTTAACCCAGGTCTCAGAATGTCCTCTAAAGTGTGTTTTAAAACAAGCCTTTTACCCTGGTTTTGATCTCCTCATGTTCTAAATGTTGTATGTGCTGCATCTTTCACCATACTGTGGTTTGCTTTTTGTTTTGCTTTTTAAAGGGTAAAATATCTGGTCTAGAAATACAACAAATGAACTTCTTATTCCAGGCTTTTATTCCAGCCATTCCATTGTGTACTGCGTAAGAACTGTGCAAATACAGGGGATCTTTGTCTCTGGCAAAGGGCTTGGGTTCTTTAGTCAGTTCAGAACCATTTTCAGCTTGAATTAGAGGGGCCATTTACATATTGAGCTCCCAGGAAAAAACAAGGTTTACTCTCAAGTATGTTCCAAAGTTTTTATAACCACAAGGCAGGTTTTACTCTGGGTATCAAAAGGTCAATAACAGCATGCAAGGGATTTGACTCCAGTCAAGTCCAGTTCTGAGATGAGGCATAAACTGGAGAAGACAGCAGAGCTGTGCTCTGCAGTGTGTACCCGCCTGCTTTTCACATCTCACCAGATCTTCCTCCAGTTCTCTCAGAACAAAGCAGAGATCATCAAATTTCCTTTTATGTAATGGAAGGAGAAAGAAAACAACAGATTGCAAGCTGAGATTTCCTTATTGGCCTTGCAGGAGTGACAAGCATTGGAGGCTGGCTCAACACAGGCCCTAAGGACCGGGGACATTTCCAATGGTCCTGAAAATAAACCATGGGAGAGCTTAGGAAGCCTGGAACCTATTTTCCCTGGCCCAAGATTAACAAGTCATACTCAACATCAATTTCTAATTGGCAGAAGGCCTCAGGGCAGCTTCCTAGTCCTGGAACCTGTGCTGTGTGTCAGTAACCCCGCACCAAACAGCTGTGTTGATGCTGTGCTCCAGCTCCGGGTAAAGACTGTGGGATCAGAAATCTCCTCTTTGCTCCTGAGGAATGGCACCAGCTCAGTGACACCACAGGAAAAAACTGATCTATGTTCAGGTTTCAGCAGAGACCACTGTGACCCCAGTCTGTCTCTATGGACCTCCAGCACCATCCAATTGCATGGGTGCCCAGCCCAAATAACCCAAATAAGCCACAAGAACATCTGCTTGAAAGCCTCTGCTCAAGCAAAAGTCAAACCAGACATTAGTGTCACTCCTGGGAACAAAGACATGCCAAATCACCCTTCCAAACAAAATGCAATTGGCTTTTCTCCTTATTTGCTTGACCTTTTAAAAATCAGATGCAAAGTATGGTCTCAAACAAATCAGTAAGAGGGGTGCTCATGAATTTTTAAAAAAAGTTAAACTACACAAGTTCTCTAAATAAAAAGCAATTAGGAACTGCATTGATGCCAAGCTGCTGTCCCTTTCAAAGCAGAGAGATATGAAATCAACTTGATGATTTAAGAACAATAAAGTACTTAAATACTATTCCCCCTTCCTGGCTATAGACAAGAGAATCATGCATTCTGTCTCAGAAACTGGCTTGAAAGCAACTGATGGAACAAAAACCACAGAGCATCTCTGCAGCACAAAGGGCTGAGCAGCTGCAGCTCCCTGCAAGCTCAACAGAGCAGTTTAAAGGTGCTGCACAGGCACATCTGCAGCTGCAGGACTCTCAGCATGCTGAATAGAAGCAGTACAGGGATCAGTACTTTACCCTGCAAGTTGGAGTTGGTCCCTGGGTAATTTTCCAGGATATACTTCTTCAGGGCTGTGGTGGAGCAGGTCTTCGGTTCGTTCATGGCCGCAATAGCAGACAGGATGGCATCTTCCATCAGAGTCCCACCCAGCAGGGGCTTCTCCCCTGATTTCTTCAGCTATTTTCCAAGGAGGAAGAGAAAAGCATCAAGACAAAATTCTCCCAAACCAGGTCAGGACAAGCTCCTCTGCACCAGGTGGGTCGGCGCTCCTGCATTAGCACAGATACGTTTAATATTAAAACACTGCACAGGGAACGCTGCTCTCCCAGCTGTAGGTGGGAGGACAGGCCTAGTCAGTCAGCTGGCCTGGGGGGCTTTATCAGCAACACCTCAGCCCAGCCCCCAAATACACTGCAAGGATGTGGCAGTCTAAGGGCCTATTGCTCAGGGGAGGAAAGAAAGCAAAATAAATCACATCTTCCTCCATCCCACGGACCAAATGTACCCAAGAGACTTCCGTGGCACACACATGAGTAAAAGATGTTGCGGGCATCTGGGGTACCTGCTGCACTTCCAGTGAGGGATGGAAAGGGAAGCTTACCCCACCAACTCCCTATTGTGCTGGTGAGTCAGAGCTGAGCATGCTGCATGCACTGCTCAGCGAGGGAACAGGGGTCTGCTCCTGAAATGGAGACCAAGAGGAGAACAAGAGGCCTACTGCTTCATAGCTGGACAAGCACTGAGCATGTCAGACTGATGGAGAAATGGCTACCCAGGGAAACCAGGGGACAGGGCGCAGTAACTGACATCCGAGGCTTGTGGTCAACAAGGATGAACCCAGTCTCTGACCTGGAATGTCCCAGATGCTCCCTTTCCTGTGATCTGCTCTAACTGGCCCTTCTCTACAGCTCTCTGCAGGGCATTCTTCAGCAGCTGGGGTCTGAAACACAGGAGGAGAAAGCTTTACTGACACACACTGACAGCTCCAAAAACAAACAGAGAAACAGCACTTGGCAGTGTGTGAGCAGAGCAGCACTTAGAGTGTCTGCCTACATGCAGACACTTTAAATGGAGACCTGTCAGCGAGGCTCATTGCCCGGGCAGAAGGCGGCACCACGCTGGGAGCTGAGCTGCGGTGTGGGCTCGGTGTCACAGCAGCTCTGGGCACACGGCCCTGCCAAGGGTTCACTCACCTTGAGCAGCACATTTGGATGTGGTGGGCACTCAGCTCACAGGCAAACAAGGGCTGACAAAACCCTGTTAGAGGTGACACGCAGGCTTTTCCTAGTTTTACTTCTGCTCCATACAGGTCAGCTTAAAGATTGCTGTACATATGTGCTGCCTTAAAACATCCAGATCCAAGGAGCATGAGACTCCAAGGAGAGCCCTTCTCATCCAGGCAGTAAAGGGATGTGGGTATGGTTAAGGTGTGCAGAGCAGCACTGCTGGTGGTGTCAGGAACAAAAACGGGATGTGGAGGGACTCAGGAAAAGGCACAGCTTTTCCTCAAGCCTTCCCACAGGCCCTGCAACTCAGAGCACCACCTGGCTTAAATACCAGATTGAATCATCGTGAAATGAGACAGAACCAGAGGAAGGCCCAGTTTCCCCAGTCCTCTGGTTGCTTAAGCAACTCCAGCACTTACCTTATATCTACTTTGAGTTTGGGGTAATACTGAGACACGTATTTCTTGATCAGGCTGTAAGAAGCTTCCTTGGGCTCACACAGGCGGGTGAAGGCCAGTGGCAGGACGTCCTCCAGCTTCACCTGCTGCTCTGTGCTCAGAGCAGAAGTGCTTTTCTGAAACACACAGACTTGTATGCATCAGCAGGGCCTAAAACTCTGCATTGTTGAACCAGCAATGCACATGTGGGGATAAGTGCTCCTGACATTGGCTGCTGAGCTGGAAACTCAGGAGCTGTAAGGCAGCTCTTTATCAACTTAAAACAGTTTGCAGCTTAAGAGATATACAGAAAATCTGGCTGAATTTTCATAGGAGTTTTAGAAAGACTTTACAAATAAAAACTGCTGAATACCTAACATCTGTATTTTTAATTACTTCCTTCCTCTTGCTATAAGACAGTTTCCTCTGCCACACTTCAGTGAGACAGAAGAAAAATCATAGAATCACAGAATTACTCAGTCTGGAAAAGCCTTCCAAGATCAAGTCCAAACATTAACTCAGCACTGACATATTCACCACCAGACCATGTTCCCAAGTGCCACATCTGCAGGTTTTTTTAAGAATTCCAGGGATGGTGACTCTCTGGATCCCCTGTGCCAATGCTTTATAACCCTTTCTGTGAAGATGATGATACATGCTGACACGAAACTTAAAACTCAAAGACAGAATTTGTTTACATAAATCAAGTATTCTCCTTCCCCAAAATGAACAGCTAAACAGGAGTATTTTTTTTTTCAAATAACACAGTAAAATCTTGATTGAAGCCAACGTTCCCTTCTGAGTTTTCCTCCACCCCTTTTGTTACTATGAGAGGAGACGATTAGGGAAAAATGGTCTGTTCTTTATACAGAAAATCTGCTGAAGTTCAGTGATTTGATGCTGAACAGCAGCTCTGCAAACAGTGCAATGGGTGAGGGAGCTGCTCCCTTGACAGCCAAATTCATCCAAAACATTTGCTTTGCTGCAACGCAGAGAAAGTAACTGGGAACAAAGACACCCATATGCTGCAGAGAGAGGTGATGTGTCAGCAGGTATCAGCTGCCTTGCTCACACTTCTTGTGGAACCAGTGAGCTCTGTTTAAGAGCTCACTAATTCCACTACAATTAGTTTCCTCCAGGGCCCTATACCAAGTTCAGTTTTAGGGCTTTTGGTCTCACCAGGAGGCAAGAGCTGACCACCAAGGTGTTACATGTCTAATGTCACCTGTCGAATTCCAAGGGATTGGCAATTCCAGCTAAACATTTTGTAACTGCAGCGTTAGGAATGTGTTTCACACACTCAACACAGCATGGAGTGGAGATCAGAAGTGCTGGAACCACAACTAACTGTGAAGCTCAGTAAACCATCTTCATCCCCAACAACACCAAGCATTAGCAGCTTTCTTCCAGAAGCCTTAAGATATTTTCTTCTTCCTCCCACTGTCCTCACAGCTGATGGGAAAACATTCCCCTCAGTCCTAAAGACTGGAGTCTTCCCTTTATCTACACAACACATAGAACACACACAGCAGTAGCATAAAACTCTCTTCCAATACCTGAGAGGCACTTCTCTCTGCCTAGTAAAGACAGAAGAAGAGTTTCATGGTTATTCAGTTTTCTGTCTCTGAACCAAAGCCTAGGGGGTTAATGTAAACATTTTAAAACTGAGATTTTGATCATTTGACTTGGGTTTAATTCCTCACAGTAGCTTTCTGATACCAGTGGGATGAGTGTTTTAATTGCTGTACTTGGGGAGAAAAAGCACAGGAAGGAGGAGAACACTGGGTTGAGAATGTTGTGTATGGTGCATGTGTTTCAGTGCAGTACATTTCAGAGTGTTGTTTAAAATGATCCATCTTACCTTTCTGTCTCTGGCTTTTGGAACAGTTTTTCCTGCATTAGACACCACCACAAAGCTCCCAGAAGCTCCCTTTCCTTTCACCTGGTTCAAGAGAAAGTAAATTTCAGTCCTTAACAGAGTAACTCAGGATACTAACAACCTGAGAGGAACGCATCATGATGCAGATTTTGAATGCACTGTCACCCTGCAGTGGGTTTTTATGGCAGAGGCCTGACTTGAACCCACTGAAACTTCAGTAAGATCAGAAACTGCAGCCAGACATTGGGACATACTCTGCTGTGCTGACCAGGAGATCCTGACAGATAACACAGGCAAAAACTACAGTGTTAAAACCCACACTGCTGCAAAAGTGACACTGCTGGACTCACGTACTGCTGCAATGCTGTGTGACACAACCAGAAATGGCAGGAGTTGCACAAAAACCAACAGTGCCAAGCATGAGACTGATACAACAGTGCTGAAATCCTGCCAGTGTCCAACAAAGCAGTGACAGAGGTTGAGGAACCTCCACGAGGGGGAACATGCTCATTCCACAGACTTTCTAATGGAGTTGAGGAATTCCTATGCAGTTCCCAGAACCACGTAATGATTTTGGCTGGAGGGGATCTTAAAAATCACCCAGTTCTACCCCTGCCGTGGGCAGGGACACATTCCACTATCCCAATTTGCTCCAAGCCCATCCAACCTGGCCTTGAACACTGCCAGGGATGGGGCAGCCACAGCTGCTCTGGACAGCTAGTGCCAGGGCCTCCCCACCCTCCCAGGGAAGGATCATTTTCCAATACCTCATCTAACTCTGTTCTCTGGCCCTATGAAGCTATTCCCCCCTGTCCTGGTACTCCAGGCCCTTGGAAATAGTCCCTCTTCAGCAATGCCATCTCCAGTGCTGCTCCACAAAGCAGCTCTTACCTGCCTAATGATTCCCCTCTCCAGCTCCCTTTTCAGTGCTTGCTTCAGGAGGTATCCCCTCCTCTCCAGCTCCAGGGAAGGGTATTTGTGGATGATGTATTTCCTTATTGCAACAACCGAGGCACCGGTCTTCTGAAAGCAGGCCTGAAACAGATACAAAACATCAGAAACCACCTACACTGGAACTATCCTGAGTGGGGTGGAAAAACAGAGATTGGACTGATGCACACAGGCTACCAGAGGGTGCCAGGGCTGGCCTTTTCCCCACTGTGAATCAAGTATAAAACATGACTAACAAAATACTTAACTTTCCTCTTCTGGGTAGCTGAAGAGCAACACAAACAACACAAAAGCAGCACAGCAAGCACATATCTACTACTGCCCTGCTCTGAAGCCCTCACACAGAATGGCTTAAAATACAAATAGTTACCTTTTGGCAGCACTGCACAACTGATTTACTAACACTTTATTAATGCCAGACTGAGTAATCATTAAGCCAGAACAACCTGCCAATTATTTTTTTTAAGAAGATGGAGGATTGACATCAGTAAACTAGCAAAACCTAGTGAAGTTGTTTTGGTAACGTTCATCTTTTGAAGATAGATGGAAAGGCCATCTTGCAATTAAGGCGGGTGGAGTCCCCGCCTCCTCGGAAGGGAGCAACCAAGCCTTAGAGGGGGGCAGCAGCACAGCTACAACAGCAGAGATCTCCTCTGACAGTCAGGAGGGATAGAATAAACCAGGACCAAATAAACCAAGACTTTGGAATGCAGGTTTACAGTATCTCCATCTGTACTGAGTTACGCTAAAAGAAAGCACATGTATCAAATAAAAGGATGAATGCAGGTAAATGAAATTAAATGTGGCTAGGAGGCACAGCAAACAAAATTATGACAGCAATCAACGAGGTTATGCCATCCTAGCTGTTCCTCATAATGTAATTAGGGAGGTAAACAAATTCTAAACAAAGACATAAGCTACAGGGCCCCTCATCACCCTCATGGACTCACATGTCAGCTCCATGGGCTTCCAGAACAAGCACAGCCATCTTACACATTCAGCTTCCTCCTAACACACAGCACTGTCACCTGCACCTCAGCAAGCTGAAACTGTGTGTTTTAGAACACAAATTGAATAAAAACCACATTTGTGTCCTGCTGACCTTGATGGCCTCAGTTAAAATCGCATCCATTTTGGGCCTGGAGGTGGCTGCCATCTGAGTCTGCTTCTGTGCCCGAGCCAGCTGGCTGGCAGAGAGCGTGGCCCACGCAGGGATGGTCTTCTTCACCTTCTTCTCTTTCTCCTTAGTCTGATCCTTCTCACTTAGGGAAAATGCAAGCAATAGTAAGACAAGAGGCACTAAGACAAGCCAACAAGCAGGACAAGAACAAGCAACAACAACAAAAAAAAAAGCCCAGAACATCTGACATTATTTAAATTAACGTAACTTAAAGACTACTTTGATGTTTATATTAGTAAAAGAGAGACCTTGTATTGGTATTCAGCTTCACATGTTTGAGAACAGCAGCTCCACGTGATCAGGAGCTTCTTCCTTAGAAGTATCTTAAGGAGAGGCACCTTATGGCACTCATTTTCCTTTTCTCTCCCACTATCTTTTCCCTCTGTAGAGCCTGACTTCCTTCAGAATCCTACCCAAATCCCTGATTTCAGCACCAAGTAAGCCTTACTCCTTTTTGGTTTCTTCTGAGGACTTTGTTTCCTCCTTCCCTTCATTCTCAGGTTCCTTTGGCTGTTCTGCTTCACTGGATGCAGCAGGCAAGGTTTCAGTCTCTTGCTCTTCTCCAACAGAGGCAGATTCCTCAGAGGTGACTTCTGCATCTAGAAAATGTGAAAAAGCATGAAGTTACTGTCCAAAACCAGCTTTTATTCTCTAGGAAGGTAGAGGAAACAAAAGCCAAACTTAAGAATACACCCCACTAATTATTTCCCACCAATTTATTTTCACTAACTTAAATGTGTTATTTAAAAGCAATTTAAAAAGTGAAGAAAAGTACTGAAGAGAGCTTCAACAAAGGTGCAATCAGCCCTCAAATGCCAGAATAACAGCAAATAACATCACGCAATATTTTCACAATTAACCAGTTCCAACAGTGTTCTCCTCTCAACTCCACAAGTTGCTGTGGATTCGAAGAAGTAGCTTTGCTTATGACCCAGTTGTTTTCAAACACAAAAGCACCTGAAGGATAATTACAATTCCATCACATTTTCCGAGACTTGGCAAAGCTTTGGGTGGCATGTGCATTGGGAGGAGCACTTGGATATCAGAAGGATCAAATCCAGTCAGAAATCGACTTACCAAGGAAATTAAAAAAAAAAAAATCCCTAAAAGTACATTTAGTTGAGAACAGGCCTTAGAGACTGGGCTGCCTACTAGAAAAAATGCATATAAACTCAAATTCCACACTTTTTGGATAAATGACTGCCCACTAACATTGCTCTGTGCAGCTTAAGCATTTCTGATACATTCCTGTGCAGTTTTCCCATGGAGGCCTTTAAAATACACAGTGAATAAGAGTCAGTTTTGTAGGTAGTTTTTAAATTTGTGACACCAAATAGGATAAAGTCAGTGAAACCAATTGACTGCAGTAGTGAAATGACACATCCTGGGACACCGAGGCCAAGCTGCTAAGAGCCGTCATGTTAATATCAGGCTAGATTGCATGACATGTAGTGGTAAAACATTTTTACTCAGAAAAATTGAAAAAAAAAATGGAATACTCTTTTTCCATTCATTAACTCCACCTTTTGATCTCAAACCATCTTTCTGATGCTACCTAAATGCTGTAATTTCTTTACCCTAAAGGATGTGTAAACTTAAAAGGGATGATATTTCGCCATATTTTCATGTCTGGAGTGATACAGGGTATAAAAAACAAAACAAGTGGGTTCAGACTGAAAACAGTGTCTGCAAAACACAAATCCTGAAAAAGCCTGTGATAGGGAGCTAAACATTAACAATATTTGCATCCTGGCTGTAGGGTTTTCCAGGAGTTTTAGAGCCAGCCTATGTTTGGATGTATATGAACCCCCTCTAGAGCCATGACTGTACCTGCTTTGACCTCTTCCCCTTCAGCAGGTTTGCTTTTGGGAGGAGTTTCCCGGGACGACGCATTCACCGAGCGGCGGATTGGCATCGTGTCGTCTTCCACTTTCTACAAAAAGCATGTGAAAATCAGCACAGATGATGGAAAGAATCAGAAAGTTTTGAAAAGGGATTAAAGTAAATCAAAGCAGCATAGGTAGAAATATTCTGGTTTGGATTTTTTAGGATGTTAAAAGACAGTAGCCCTCAAACCAGCTTCTTCAAAGCATACTAGGAGAGGATAGTTCCACATTTTATGGTTAGACAAGAAATAATTTCAATTCCAATTTAAGTGAGATGAGCATTTGAGGATTTTGACAGATACATCAACTCAGGGAAAGCAGGGAAAGGGAAGCAGAGATTGTTAGACTCCCAGTTGAGTTTCCTAGAAGCAGGGCAGAAAGAGTACTGAGTAACCTTGAGCAGGACTGGAAGCCAAGGACTGATCCAAGGGCAAGCTTGGAGAAAGGGCCAGCCCCTACCTCACTTAACTTGTCCGTGTGGATCAGCTGAGCTCCCGTTAAGAGTGGAAGTGCCTTATGATGCACGGGCTCAGAAGACAGATCAGTCGACATTTAAATTAATTTCTAGACCCAAGTGCAGGTAACTGTGGAGTCCCAGGTTTTAAACCCAAGGACTTTTTCCTAATGGTTTTCACAGTGCAGTGAGGAGTCAACCTAAAGTACAGAAAAGATGTGGTGTAAAAATTAACAAAACAAAAACATCTACGTCCACGTATCTATCAAATTAAAGATTAAAAACAAAAGGAAAAATGACTTACAGCTCATGACTAACACAACTGACAAACAACACTTGCATTCAACAAAGGTGCTAAAACATGTGTGCAAACTGGTGAGCTATAGGTGGAGCAGAAATGGGAAAGGTGCAAGCCAGACCTGCTCCGTTAGAAGATGGCTGAAAGATAAAAAGACTGTTTAAGTTAAGGGCAAGCATTGATGAGAAGCAGTCATTGCACTGTGCCCTGCATGAGGGAACTGGTCACTCTTTGGTAAAAGCAGGAGCTGCCACCTGGAGCTAATGTATTACACCATTACCTCTGTCAAGCACAAGATACAAGCATTGGGAACCCAAGCCATGCCCCCTCAAATGATACTCCATGCAATTTAAAGAAATGAAGGAATCTCTTGACAAAAAAAAAAAAAAAATTACAATCAGAAGAACAGCCTCCATGCCTTCTACCAGAAAGCATAAGCTTGCAAAAGCTCTGCTCCAAACACATGCACTGTCGTGGATAACAAATGGGTTAAGCTCAGTTTAACCCTCATCAAGTCTCACCCCCTACCACTATTATGCTTTTACAGCCTTTCTTACCTGCTGCCCATCTGTCTGCACTGGCCTCTCCTAAGGAGAGGGGCTCCACTAATTCCATCACAAAACCAGCATTCATTGGCTCATTCACTTCCACTCAGCATTCCCTTTAAAAAGCTTCTGAGTATCCTCAGAGGCAAAGCCTCACCTCCAGCAGACCACGGCTGGACTTGTCCCAGCTGCATCTGAAAATCAAGCTCAGCCTGGCCTCCTCCCCTCCTGACAGAGAGACAGCCAAACGCCCCCATTTTCACCTCCTCCGGGTGTCTCCTTTCGCTCAGAAGGCAGGCAGTTATAAAAACTTGCTTTTTCAATAGGCATTTCTCCAGCCTGGGTATTTTCCTCTTCAACAGCCCCAGCCCTGCTTTCAAACTGACTTTCACCACAGTTTCAGCACTGCTCTCCCCATTGCACATCTCTGTACCACATCAACATTTTCTTGCCCAAAAATACAGTCCTGTCATTACTCAGCAGTGGGGTTCCCTAATCAGTCAGAGGCACTTCTGACAGGAACTGACAGCCACTCTGAAAACCACAGAGAACTGCCTCAGCACCAGGGAAAGCAAAGCCCAACAGCACTGGATGTTTTCTTCTGAGGCCAAACAGAAAGATCAAAACACACCACATGCCAACAAAACAAAAAAATGAGATTAATGAAGCTTTCTTGTGAAATGTCAGGATGTGAAAATATACTAATTTCCAACTAGAATATACAGAATTTAGCACAGCACTTAAAAAAATCTGGCCTGTTTTAAGGAACCTTTCTTCCTTAAGTGTGGAAAGTGAAAGGGAAAAAAAAAAAGAAAGTTTTCACCAGTCTTCAGCTCAATATTCAGTTTTTCCTCTAGCAAGCAGAGTCTAAAGCCCTTTAAGAAAATGCCAGAATTTTGAACTGAGTCCTAAAATAACCAACTGCAGATTCCCCCTGAGGGAAATCAGTTGGGGGCTACAAAAGATGCATTCCCTGGAATTAAAAACACACACAAGCCACACTGTGGCTGACATGGTCCTGGGGTTTAAGTATTTTTAAGCTGTGTAACCTGCATGACACATGCATGAAAACAGTACTCCCAACTACGAGTTAAAATTCCCCAAATTCTGGAAACCCTTTTGTTTATATGAATGTAAAAAGCACTGGAGTATTTTTGCTCTTAAGAGTACAACTTAGCACAATTCCTCACTTCTGTGCCTACAGTACATGCAAACAAGCCAGGATCCAGCAGAAATTCAGGCTTGTTGATTCCCTCTGGATCATCTCCTGCTCAAAAGGCCCAGGGAATCAAAGGGACAGGAGGACAATCTCCTCCTGACTGCAAGGCACTGATCTCCAGGGGCCAGGTCAGAAGCTCCACCTTGTGAGAACATCCTCGCAGGGACTGTGCCTGCTCAGCCCATTTCTTACCACAGGGGCATCAAAAGTGGTTTCTGCACTGAGTGTGAAGTATCAACCACATACAGATCTGAATTCAGTTCATCAAAAAGATACAGCGAAAAAAGAGAGTTTTGCAAAGACAATGTAGGAAATCTCAATCCCCTCTCCAAATAAACCAGATCGGTGTGAAGGAGAGATCAAGTCATCCAAACCAGCTGTTACTTGGACACACTATTTCAAAAAACAACTTTAAACAGGAACCATAGCTACAATCACAACCACTACCCAATAAAAAAAAATGAAAGTAACAACTGTGTTTTACATTTACAAAAACATCAAACAAACATTGTTCCTTGAAAGGGGGTAGAAGCCACCAGCTGAGGATGCAGTTTTCAAGGTGGCTGTTGGGTGATTTTAATGAACATTTAAATCTGATCAACTGTCAGAAAAATATAATCACATCAGCAGTGAAAACACCACAGGGATACTAACCTCCACCCCAGTACAGGAAATCACTCCTCACAGAGTTATACCTCTTTTTCTACAGGAAAACTACAGGTTTCTACAGGTTCACAGGTTCCCAGACTATCATGAACTGATTATCCCAAAGGAGGTAATCCAGCAAGGAGCTGATAAGCAACAAGCCCCCCCAAACTCTGGATTTCTAGATGAGCACGAATGTGTCTACTGTCCCAGCTCAGGGAGTAGCTGCTAATGGAAGATCCAAAGATACAGAGAGTTTTTCAGGAACTACTCTGAACCACCCATAGCAGTTTTCTCCTGAACTATCACATCATTAGGAAGGAGGCTTCAGGTGAAACACATATTTGATCATATTTCCAAAGTGTGAAGTCCCTCCACTAATGTAAGCGACACAAGAATTAAAAAAAAAAAAAAAAATCAGCTGAATTGTTGAATTTCTGCTGGTTGTAAGATTTTTCAACTTAGCCTTCAACCTCCTTTGAGAGAAAATGCTTCAGGATTAATTAGGTTTTGAATATGGCAATCCAAGTGTCAGACTGGCAGCAACTCCAGCTGACAGGGACTCAGGGTAGGGTGAGCAAGCTGAAAACAAATATGCAATGGAAAAATAAGGAAGTGTGTCCAATCCTGGGCCAGTGGGGTGTCCCCTTACTGTCACATGACACCTAGGGGTGATTGATGTACTTCGATGTGACTGGGTACAAAGCACACGACACCAGCCTAGAAATGAGGTCAAAAATGGCTAAAAAAAGGTTTTATGCAGGTTAGAAGTCAGGGCATCAAGGGGTACAAATCCAAAAACCTGTCAAGTCATGCAAGCAAGAACAGCTGTTTGTTATCAGAAAGCCTTAGAAAGCAAAGTAAAACTGGGTTTAAAAACCAGGCTATGAATTACTGACAATTATTTACTACTCTATAATACACAAGAGTATTTAAATTAATTGGAAATTTCAGAAAAAAAGCACAGGGAATGTTAATACTTCTGCAAATCCAAATCAAACATGCCAAAATGCATCACCTTCTAAACAGCAAGATACACAACTCTGTTAAGTCTTTGTCCCCCTGAAATCCTCCAAGCTGCTCCCTAAAAGCCCAGCCTATGCAGCAGCAGATACATTGTGAAACCCTCAGTATCTACATGGTCACAGTATATAATCCAGCAACATCTCAGATACAAATGTGTCTGTCAGGAGTTCTCAGCTGGGGCTTCCACTGCCTGCCCACTGAGGCATTCCGGCACTCTGCCTTCGGCTTTTCCAGCTCATGGAGCTGCCTGTGGGCTTGGCTAAATCAGTCCAGGAGTACTTAGTCATTTAATCCAGCCTAAAGTCCTGCAGATTAATAAAATATGTTATTGAATAAAGAATATAAAGTTAGTTCAAACTTCTGATCCTTATTTGTCAACCCACTTGGAAACTCCCTCGCATGTGCTGAGCACAGCTGGCATTCCCATCACTCCTGCTGCATCCAACAAGTTTTGTCCCGATCCTTAGGGCCACATTCCCCAGGAGGTGTCCCAGCTCCCTGGAATGTCCCCAGATTCAGCCCCAAGGTCTGCTTTTGCAGCTCTCCTGCGGTGGAGGCTCCCAGGCTCTGCTCCAGGCTACCTAAGCCCTGCATGGAGCAGCTTGTTTCAATTAACTGGGAGCAGTGGTCCAGCACACACCCCCAGAGCTCCCCACTTTCTAGGCAGCAATTCCTCAGCCTGTTTCACAGTGTCCATTTCCATCCCCTCCTTCCCTGCATGGGGTATGAGAGGGACAACAAACCCCATACTTCAGGGTCCAGGGGAGCCCACCAAAAATCCTTCACACTTCTACCATCCAACCACAGGAATTCCTACATTCAGAGACCCAACTGAGGGGTTTTTAAGCCTAAAAATATATTTTCATTTGAAAACATTTTCGTTCAGTATTGAATTTGAGCCTCTGACTCCGAACGCCATGAATGCAACCCAACTTATTTGTCCCCTGTCCAACCCAACTTGTCCTGATTTTTATAGAACACAGCAAAAATTAAACCTTGCCCTTCTGCGCACACAGATGGTCCTTTCACTGAACAAAAAAAAAAAACAAAAAAAAAAAAAAAACAAAAAAAAACACAACAAAAAAAATTTGGTACATTACGAGAGTGAGACTGATGCTCCCACCCAGGGCTGAGCTCAGCACTTGTCTCTGTTAGGGTCCAACACCAGCAGCCCCAATCCAGCTCAATCCCCACGTACTAACCCCATGTAATTCCCATGAAGTAACCACCTATGCCCCACCTCCACTGTTCTCTACACAAAGAACATCAGCTCAACAGAAAACCACTACAGGTTTCTGATTCTCTCTCCAACAATCTCTGACCTGCACAGAAGGCAGTAAGAACAGATCATTTCCACTGCCTGGATTATTTTCCATTCCTACACCCAGGGGTTTTTCCTCATGTCCCCAAACAGCCACAGTCAGTGAGCAACTTAAATTACACTACCACCATACCTAAAACACACAGAAACCTCAGCCAAGGGATTAATATGAAGCAGAATTTCTGCCTGTACGGCTGTCTGAAAATAATCCATCACCACACTGATGCTCAGGATCATGATGGTGACAAGCTCTGAGGAACAGTTACAAGTTTTGAACAGTTTTTGGCTAGAATGGCCCTTGATCCAAATTCTCCACACTCTGTCTATGCCTCATGGCCACTGAGGGATGAAATCACCCCTGTTAGCATGCACAGGGTTCAGCTTTAAGTTTAAAACAAGCTCAGGTCACAAAGTTAAAACAACTCCAACATGAAAAATCCCCTGCTGGAAGTTTTCATAGCCTTGGATAAAATATCTTAATTCAGGATCCAACTTAATGAATTTTGACAAACTGCTGACACTTGAATGAAAATTTAGGCTGCAAGTGTTACATACCAGGGTTTGAACCCTTTATAGGCCATCTCCTCCTTGCCTAGATAGATTAAATTTAAAACCACAGTATAAACCCTCCTCCCAACTAGTACTTATTCAGCTGTCAGTTATTATTCTACAGCCAAAACTATACATGATAAAAGCCATTATTCCATTGCAGTCTGTAAGAAATCTACCCACACTTCCCATTATAGTCCATCAATGTAACACTGTTATTCCCTCTCACAGAAGTTTAAATCCTCAGAGGACCCCAGGTCACTTGTAACAAAACGCTGCCAAAAGATTTACATGTCACTTTCTGCTGAAAGGGAAAAAAAAAAAAAACACAGTAAAAGATATTCTGAAGACAAAAAAGCAATTCAAGGGGTTTCTGCCTGACCAATCTGCATGATGAATTGAGAAGAACATTAATTAGTAAGCTCACACAGGTAAACAAGAGAAATCTTAAAAAGTTGCCTTTTTGCAAGGTATTTATACCAGGTTCTTCCCTCCAACAGGAATTATGTGGTTTGGTTTTTTTTTTTTTTCCCCTCTACTCATTCCTGATTTCCAAGGATCTCCCACTCTATCCAACAATTTTTTGAAGTCTCACCTGAGGAAGGTCTGTGCTCTCCTGCCCAGTCCATCAAACACCTCTCCTCCTGAACTCAACTCACCTCCCTCTCCCATCACTGCTCTCATGGAGAAGGGACGCTGTTTACAAACACAAGCACTTCCGAACCTCTCCCGCCTCAATGGGAGCTGCTTGCCAAAGACTGCTGGCCAACTCTTTCTTGAAGATGCTAAAAATACTATTTATGGTCAAAGCAAACAAAAGTCACGTGCTGGGAAATCAGAGTGTAACACTTAATAGTTAGTTAAGCATGGGGAAGTGACACAGTTGCTAACCCAGAAATAATTCAGTAGGGCTCTTAAGAAGTGAAAAATACCCGAGTACCTGAGAAATACCACATCTATAAACAAACTGTCCAGGCGATCAATCCCTGCTACACTGTATAAAGGAGAGAACACACCCACAATCTCACATAATCCAATTTTTCTTCTGTAGCACAGGCTGCGCAGTTCCCCAGTGTTTTGCAGACACTGGTTAGTGGGAAAACAGTTAAAATACAGAAGGATTTGTTCTGAAGTGTTCCCAGTCTGGAGCTGTCCTCAGGTGGAGCAGGTAAGGTGATGGGGCGCCCTGACCCGGCAAGAGCCACCCCAGAAGCTGCTCCTTCACTCCTCAAATCTTTGCGATGTTTTATCCAAAAACACGCCACAGCCTAGAGCGGCAAGAAGGATAACGATACAGGAACGGAAGCCTGCCTGGAGCAGCCCCGCTCCAGAGTGGAATTTAACAGCCTTCTCTGTAGAGAACCTGAGCACTGTGGGGAGGAGGGTGATTAACATTCCTTAAGCAGGCTGCGAGCATCAGGGCGCACGGAGGCACTCGGAAGTGCCGGGAGCCTCACACATAGGTCTGTATCCATCGCTATCGGCGCCGAGGGCGATTAGCGACCTCTTTTAGGAAGCGGAGACACACAGAGCCAGGCTGAGGCTCCCCTCGCGTGGTGGCACTTGCCGGGCGCTGAGGAAGCGAGTTAGTGCAGGCACAAACCCGAACAACCGCACAGCCGAGCGGCCAAAGGCGGGAGGGCCGCGGCCGGAGCCAAGGCGCTCCCTAAGTTTATTAATAGCGATTATTTATTGTGTCGCGGCCCTGCCAGCCCCTTCCGCCGCTGACCTTCCCCGGGGCTCGCCCTGTGTCGGCGGGACGGGAGAGGCGTGCTTGAGGCGTGTTTGAGCCCCGCAGCTCCTTTGTGAGGCCCGCGGGCCCGCCAGGCCCCGCCGGGCCCGGCGACACCCGAGGCCGCCTCCTCGGGCCTGTGCCAGCCCGAGCCCACCGCGACATCGAGCCGCGCCCACGCAGCGTGTCGCGACTCCCCGTCACGACAGCCCCGCTCCCCCAGGCCTGTCAGGGCAGGGAGGGCGGGGGGGGGGGACGCGCTGAGGGCAGTTCCGGCGCCCCTTCGGCGGCGCCGCCAGGCCGCCCCCGCGCCTCGCGCGCAGCACCCGCGGCCTCCCGGGCGCGGCCCCGTGTCCCGCCCGGCGCGGCGCCGGGGGCGGGCGGGGCCGGGACTCACCGGGCCCGGCGGACACAAAGCGGCGGCGCCTCCAATGGCGGCGGCGGCGGGACCGGGGAGGGGGGGCGGCCGAGGGGCGGGGCCGAGCGGGGGGGGGCGGAGCCGCGGCGCGAGGCGGGGGGCGTGGCCGGGTGGCGCCGCCGGCCAATGGGAGGCCGCGGGCATTTTTCGAATGCCTCCCCCGCCCTCCGGCCCCGCCGCCTCCACGTCGCGCGAGAGCGCGCGGGGGGGGGGGGCGGGGCTGCGCGCGCTTCCCGCCACTACGGCGCTGAGGCGATTCCCGCCCGGCCGGTCCCTGAGGGGCCGGAGGCGCCCCCGGCACCGCCTCAGCCCCGCCGTGCCCTCAGCTCAGCTAAATCCTCACCACAGCCTCGCCA